ATGAAAATGTGAAAGAGAAGTATAAATGTAGAATGAGAGAAAATATTAGGTGTTTGAATGAGTTGTGTATGAATGATTTAGACTTGAATACTGTGTGGGATAATATTAAGAAAGGTTTGGTGGATGCAGCCACCGAAGTATGTGGTGTAAGTAAGAGAACAAATGAAAGGAAAAGTAATACGTTGTGGTTGGATGATGAGGTACGGGTGGAAGTTGAATCAAAGAAGAAAGCATGGTTAGATTTACTAGCAACCAAAGCTGGTAATTCTGGTGGTATGAATGATGAGATTGAAAGAAAAAAGGCAGAATTTAGACGTCTAAATAAGAGATTAAAAGAAGTAGTTGAAAGGAAAAAGAAAGAAAGAACGGATAAGATGATGAAGAAGATGATAGAAGGATATCTGATAATTTTCCAGACTAATATAAAAATGTTCTGGAAACTCGTAAGAACTGCCAGGGGAAATACAAAACAGCCTATAATTAATGCTATAAGAGACGAGAATGGATGTATTCTGAATGATGAAGTTTCGAATTTAAACAGATGGAAGGAATACTTTGAAAGCGTGTTTATGAGTGAAGAGTCGTCTGAATTACGAGTAAGTGTACTAGAAATTCCGAAAGAAGTGGAAAGGGGTATGGAGATAAGTGTAGATGAAATAATGAAAAGCATGAAAGCAGGTGAGGCAGCTGGATATGATAGAGTATCACTCGAGATGCTAAGGGCTGGAGAGGGAGTGGTAGCAGGCCTGATGTACACCTTGTTTAATTTATGTTGGGAATTAAAACGGGTACCGGATGACTGCTGTAAAGCAGTTATAGTACCAATATATAAAGGAAAAGGGTCACAGCAGGACTGCAAAAACTACCGTGGTATAAGCTTGCTTAGTATTGCGGGTAAACTGTATGCTAAGGTGTTAATTGATAGAGTTATGAAAGAAACTGATGGAAAAATTTGGGATGTGCAAGCGGGTTTTAGAAAGGGAATGGGGTGTACAGATCAAGCCTTTTCCATGCGCATGATTGCGGATAAGTTTTTGGCCAAAAACCAGAAAGTTTTTTGTGCGTTCATGGACTTGGAAAAGGCTTATGACAGAGTAGACAGGAATGTGTTATGGCAAACACTGAACTCATATGGGTTGAGCGCTGGTTTGATACAGGCATTAACCTGCAATTCCCCTGGTGTTGCGGTTGATCATGGGCGGCGGTAGTCACTTAACATCAGGTGAGCCGCGTGCTCGTTTGCCCCCTCTTCTATATAAAAAAGGTCTCTTTATAGGGACTCTAGTGCTTGTGTCAGGATCAATGGGGTCTACTCGGACTGGTTTGGCATCCAAAAAGGTGTCAGACAGGGCTGTGTAGCTTCCCCTTGGCTTTTCAACCTATTTATGGACAGATGTTTGCAAACTTTGAAAGATGAAGAATGTGGGTTAAGATTGGGCGAGTTAACCGTCAAATGCTTTTTGTAGTCCGATGATCAAGTCATATTTGAGGCTGAGTTGCAAATGATGGTTACATTAATGAACTGTGCATTAAAAGAAAGGGGAATGAAAGTGAACGCAAGTAGGACGAAAGTGATAGTTTTTGAAAGAGAAGAAAGCAAAACGGTATGTGAAATAAGAATAGAAGGAGAGTTAATTGAGCAAGTAGATGAGTTTGTGTATTTGGGATGTGTATTTAGCAGGGTTGGTAGATATAATAAGGTTATAGAACGACGAGTAAATGCAGGGAATAGAGTGAATGGGGCACTACACTCTATTATGAAGAATCAGAATGTGTCAAAAAAGGCACGTATAGTAATTCATAATGCTGTGTTAGTCCCTACTTTAATGTATGGTAGTGAAAGCTGGGTGTGGCAGAAGAAGCACGAAAGTAGAATAAATGCTGTAGAAATGCGGTCTTTAAGGAGTATGATAGGGTTGAATCTGAATGACAGGGTGAGAAATTGCGTGATAAGAGATAAATGTGGTATGCAAGAAGATGTTGTGACCAGGATTAAGAAAGGAATGCTTCGGTGGTTTGGTCATGTAGAAAGAATGAATGAGGAAAGAGTGACAAAGCAAATTTATATGTCAGATGTGAACGGCAGAGTCGGGAAGGGACGCCCTAGAAAAAAGTTTATCGACCAAATTGGCGATATTTTGAAAATGGGCCACGTTAGAAGTACCCTTAACCGACGAGCATGTATGCGTAGGTATATGGATGCACAAAGGAGGCGAAAGAGGTACGTCAGGATCGTGCCAGATGGAAGTCCGTAGTCTCTGCCTACACCTCTGGGTGACAGGCGTGAGTGTTTGTTGTTATATGTAAAATTTTATTATGACAATTTCCAAACGTTTGATGGAAGTCATAGAGGCAGATTATACTGAAATGTGTTTTTAAACAATTGTAGTCTAGTCTAGTCTAGTAGCATTGTGAATATTTGTCCTAGTGTTTGGATTAACGATTTTTAATGACTGAAATTTCTGCAAGGTATGTCATCTATTTATCCAAATCAACATCTATTATTTTTCATTTTTATATTGAAATATTTATTCCAATCGCTTACCTAATTATCCCATAAACTCATATTATTATCATGTACTTTATGTTTTCCAGATAGGAGACGTTTGTCACTTAATATTTTAGAGTATAGTCAAGCTTGGGATGTTATTTCCTCATCTCAGACGCTGTTCGCACCACAGATAAAGCCAAAAGACGAAAGACCTCGTAGATATTAAAAATATAATTAAAATGTCACTCAACACGTTATGATTGTAATGGTCGACACACATGGTCAGTTCAACTGATCAGTTGAAACTAGGACTGTTGATATTTTTTAAAATATCGGCTTTTTGATAAATCGATAAATAAACTTATATATAAAACTCCGATAATGATATATTTTAAAACTATCGATATATCGAAAGTTAAATAAAAAATATATCGAAGTTTCAACTGATCAGTTGGAATGATCACTTGAACTGATCGTGTGTGTCGTCCATAAGATTGTCACAGAATATGGAAAAATATCCAAAGAAAAAGAAGATAAACGGAATATACTTTTTGGTCACTTGGTGTTTGATTGTTGAAGTACATTAATCCCTGTCTTCGTACCTGCAATTACGCCAAAATTTAAAATTTTTTGTATAGGTTGTGTAGGTTCAATTAATCAACAAATTCAAAAAAAGGCAATTAATATTGATTTTGCACAAAATATATATATAAAAAGTAAAATAAAGTAAAGTTACAGCCTATATACGTCCCACTGCTGGGCACAGGCCTCCTCTCATTTTTGAGAGGGTTTTAAGGCAAGGAAGTGTCCGCCGCGCTGGCCCAGTGCGTGTTGGCGAACTTTACATGTCTTCGAAATATTTTTTTTCTTATTTCTCAGACATGCAGGTTTCCTCACGATGTTTTCCTTCACCACCGAGCACGTGGTAAATCAGCACTTAAAATTGCAATTAACAATTTCATTGGTGCCGACGGGGATCGAACCCGGTTTGCTCGCGTATTGTGAAATTTACAGCGAGCGCTAACCATCTGAGCTACCACGGCTCAAAAAATAATATATAATTAAAATCAGCTCAAAAAATAATACATATAATTAAAATCATTTGATCTTGTGTGTGTTGTTAACATTATTCTTCTAAAATATTTGATAAACTAAAATAACTAAGTTTAATGTGATATCGTGCTTCGGTGCTTCTTCATTGTAACTTTCTTTTTATCCTTATTTTTCATTTAATTCTGTTGCCCATTTTTTTTTTCAAAGTCAACGTAGGATGAGATATTTGTTTTCAAAGTCTATAATTGAACAATGTGTTTTCCTATAGTTCACAGCGACCGGCTAGCTGTAGTAGTTTTTATTTCCTATTGCAATCACATGTAGTAGGAAACAAATACTATAACTACAAACATTATTTACATTTTACCAAGACATGAATTTCTATCTCTTCTATCTTTGTCTGGTCGGAATTGATTGTTGACGAAAGTTCACGAAATAGAGAATAGAGACCAATGCATGAGTGATTTGGCCATTCATCCATATGTTTTTTAAGAAATCTTTTGTCATGAATTTAGAAATTTGTTTGATAAAAGAATTTTTGAAATTATTTCATTAACTTTGAGATATAACAAAAGTTTTAATTTAAAAAAAAAATCATTTGCATCTTACACAAATATGGTCCTCACACTATCTTCAAAATCGAATTTTAACATTTTACTTCAACGCCATATTACAACGAAACTATAAGTGATAAAGGATAGGAAGATAAGATATTATTTGTCAAATTAACTCTTCTTGGCGAAGATTTTTAATTTATATTTTAAATCTTTTTCTATATCCCAAATATTATTTGAAATAATAGCAAAAAAGTTACCATAGTGGTTTTTTGATCGTTGAACTCTACGAAGTCTAAAATACTAGTTGAACTACTTGCCCAAAGATCACTATCATAGAACTGCAGGTTATTTTTAAGTTCAACGTTAACGTGGACGTGGTAAATGCTAGCATAATCATAAAATTACTGTATATATTCATGTTTTATGAGAGTAATACCTGGTGTGTGTATGTATGGATTATTAATAAATAATTAGAAGATAATTTTTATGGTTATCATTACAATTTAAAATAAGTACTAATTTTGTATACCTTATATATATCCTATACCTATTGTATATAAGTAATCGGAAAATATTAATTAAAAACTCCAGTTTTTAAGATATTAATTTTATCTTAAAAATAACACGAAGGATAAATACAAAACTTATTCTAAATAACAATGACGGCACGAATTATGCTATTAGAACTAATTAGTCTTTTACCGGGTTTACAACACAACAAACAATCATTCTTACTTGTCTAGCACAAGCATATTATTGAGATAACTTGCAAATTAACAACCACACTTATACCATACTAAACTAGCTCTACAAATCAATGCAGTCATCATAATATACAGCCTTCGGTTAAAATATAGCCCTTACAACTAAAATTGAACATTAAATTAAATTCCTATCTGCTACGATGAATCGGCAGCGGGGGGAGCAAACTGTATCACAGAAGTATGGCGTACCACTGGAACGGGTGTGGGTAGGGAATCGACATAAGGAATAAACTTACGCTTTCTGGGCGGCAGTGAGGAAGGAGCGAGAGTAAAATGTAGACTGGTCGTAGGAGGTGAAGGGGATGGGTTTGGCATGGGTGTAGGAGACGTTGACGTAATAGACGTTGTCGGTACAGTGGGGCATGGAGGAGATGGTGGAGAGCTTGGAGGCGTCGGTGGCAGTTGTTGTAAAGCCGCTTCAACAATATCACACATAGCATTTCCGTTCCCACTGGACATTGTGGAAAGAGATGACGGCGCTCGAGGGGTTTCCGCGCCATGTTCTTTGTAAATATGAGCTTCCATTTGCTTTTTGGTGTTAAATGTGCCATCACACACTGTGCATCGATAACAGCGTTCACCATAATGTTGAAAGCGATGTAGTTTCAGCACGTGGTTATATCCAAAGTCACGAAGGCATATATCGCATGTGTAGGGTCGCTCTCCGGTATGAGTACGAGAATGCACTTTGAGCTGCTTGGAACATGTAAAGCCTTTACCGCAGCCGGGTGCTGGACAGCGGTAAGGTTTTTCGCCGGTGTGTGTTCTCAAATGGATCACCAACTGCCCTGATTGAATAAATGTTTTATGGCAATGTGGACATGCGTGTGGCCTTTCACCGGTGTGAATTCGAGCATGGCGATGTAGTTTTCCCGAATGCTCGAAGGCAGCGCCACAAACGCTACACCGGTACGGGCGCTCCTTGGTGTGGATTCGGCGATGCACTTGCAAATTCTCTTTTACACTGAACATTTTATGACAGTATTCACATTCAAAGGGTCGTTCGCCCGTGTGTGTCCGATAATGACGAACAAGTCGTGCCGGTACTGCGAAAGTCTTGTGGCAGACATCGCAACGATGAGCATCAGCGGCTACGCGATGCGAGCGGGCGTGAGCTGTTAACGCGCTGCGAGTGGAAAGCGTCAGACCACATTCTCCACATTGGTGTACGCGCTCTTCTTCACCTGCCAAAGGATTTAGTTTAATGTCAAGAGATGTTGTGTAATTCATTATTTTCTTAAAGGATTATATTTATTGCACACGTATAATCGCGACGCCCGTTCACAGTGCAATGTCTGTTGTGGACGGCATGCGGCGACGACGATCAGGAAAATCAGGATGCACATACAGGGCCACAAAGGGGCGCGGACGGGCAGAGAGGAGCGAGAAACACGGCAGAGTGAATGTCCTCGATAGCACGTGGAGGCCCGTACCGCGGTTTCGACGCGATAGTGCCGCGGTACGCGCCTCCACGTGTTTGGGCCGCCGACCCCGTATCCGCACTGAACCTCACCCCGCACTCTTCCCCACTTTCGTTTTAACCCCGTGCTGTGTTATAGTATAGGGATATACTACACTAATATAATACGTATGAAGTATGGGAATGGTTATATTTTTTTAAAGGTAAGTAAATGGTTAATATTTTAAATTTAAACTTAAACAAAAAATGTTTGCAACAATATAAAAAGTATTGTTTTTAATTTGTAAGGAGGTAAATAATATACATTCAAATAACAATTAAGGATTTAGGTATGTAATGTGTTTAAAAAACAATTTTCTTTGGATCATTGATTCATACAAAAAAATGGACTTGCAAATATTTTTTTAAATTCAAATAAACTAGTAGATATAGTAAGGATCTAGAACACTCACCTATCATATTTGTGATGATTGGATATTAGTTAAGCGCGGTTCAATATCGTCAGTGTTGGTGTAGGTTGCGTATCTTATTTAGACGAACTGAACTAACGCGCACTCCACCGACTGTCCACGGCCGAATGCGGAATTCGCGAGTTGCGAGCAAGCCCGACCCGACCCAGCGCATGTCGTGTCCTCCGCTCTCCTCTACACCGCACAGCCCTCTCGATTGTTATTACACAGACTATGGATGCTATAGGTAGATACGACATTAATTTATATGTGCGCTACTCGCGGACTGTGTGTTACATAAAATATAACAATATTGAAACAGTATATCTGCAAAAATTAAAATAAAGGTCCTATCATATATATATATATATATATATATATATATATATATATATATATATATATATATATATATATATATATATATATACGGTATTTTTGAATATAACTGGTTAATTTTTTATGGATTTTTTGACTTTACATCATAAGTTACGTACCTACTTTTAATATTATTTGTAATTAAGTTTTGTCAGTACTAGATTATTAATATTTTTATCAAGAAGTCTAGTGTCAAATCATTTTAAAACACATATAGCCTATTTCATAATCCAATTATTTCTTTTATTTCTTTAAGTACAAAACCTAAATATTTCATATTATAATAGGTACCTATGTGTATTTCTTTTAGAAAATTTCATTCTTAGGTGAGTGTTTTATTAAAATCAAGAAATTAACATACTTCAATATTATTAAAAATCATTGACATTCAAGCGTAATAATATAGGCACAGAGCCGGTGATGTTGGGTCAGGAACAATAATGCATGTATAGTTATAGCTATATTATAAAACGTACATATACGACAGACTACCGCAGCTCTGTTGAAGGTTGGAGAGGGCAGCGGTAAAGCGAGCGCGGCTGTGGCGAGGCACCACGTGGAGGCCCACCGCGGTTTCGAAGCGCGTGTGAACTCTCGATAGCAGTGCGCGTGCGTGACTTGTCGTCTTGCCCCGCCTCCCGCACTCTTCCTCACAACCTCACTAATGTTTTGTGTCTGCCCGTCTAGGACAATGTATATGTTATAAAGGCCGGAATGATTCCGAAGAAATTTCCTAATAGTGTGACATTATATCGTGCTTACCTCAATGATACGCATAGGTATATATGTAATAAACTGTACTTAGGTACCTATTATTTGTAAATAAAATGAAGTTTTTTAAAATTCAAAAGGCTTCTATTCCAACCATTGGATTAGCAGCCTTTTAAACTTTGAAAATTTGTATTATTTTAATAAGAGCACAATATTTTTAAAATATAGGTTCAATCGGTAGGTAATGGATAAATTCCATAAATGTAATGAGCATTCATTTACAATTATATGATTTCAAGAACACTTTCAAAAATGACTATAGACATAAAAAAGTCGTAATGGCTAATGTCATCCTTTTCACCCGACTTCAAAAAAAGGAAAAGGACTTTTTTCTAGGTATATTGATCGAAGAGGTGAACCGATTTTGATGATTCTATTTTTATTTAAAAGCTGGTGCTTCTCAAATGGCCCCATATAGGTATTTGATCAAGTTCTGACTAGTAGTTTTTGAGTTTTCATAATAATGCGGGTATTTAATTGACTAGGTCTATATTGACGATGTTTTCATTTGATTTATAGTGAAGTCGGTTGTAAAAACTTTTAATGTTTTTTGGTAGATAGGTAGGTACCTATTGTAGGTAAGTTTTAGATACACGATAAAAATTCGTAACAATTTTAAATCATGCGTGTTATGAGTATATAATATAAAACAATTATTTTGGATTAATGTTTTACTACGTACCTACACTTTTACCTTACTAAAATGTGGTTTTAAGAAGTTCGATTTTTCTTTCTACACCAGTAAGCAATTAATTAAAACAAATTTTGATAAAAAATTATGTAGCACGTAGATTTCTTACAAATTAACAATCCAAGTTTGTATGTTGTGTTTTAATGATATTGATGTTTCGACATCATTATTATAGCACGCCACGAGTCCTCTGCTGAACATGACTTCCTCCATTGGTTACTGCAAATCACGGTCACATTTTTCGGTAACCTTTATTCGATATTTCAAGATGTCAAAGCGACCGACTTATTGCTATCGCGTTTCTTTTGGCTCCTTTTTTTATAACTTTAACACCTGAGCGTCTCTACATCGACCACCAGTCAAACTAAAGAGTCCCCATTTCATGTACCTCAGGTATAGGGGATTAACTGAAAAAAATGTGAAGCTTGTTGAAATACCGTAAGTCTGCCGCCCACTTAAAGACGAGATAATGTCTTTAAGTTGTAAACCCCCTACTAAAAGAAAATCTTAGTGTAGGGTAACGTTTTTAAAAGAAAAAAAAATGTAAAATAAGCCTAATTTTATTGGGACTAAAACTTGTCAAAAATTAGGAATATGAGCGTTTTAAATTGCCTGCGTGTTTTAATATTAAAATTTAACACTGATAGATTTGTAACTGTGTGGTAATATTTGAAATATACTTTCCTCTAATTACGAAGAATTTTTTTTTACTGACAATGTTCGAAGATACTTTATTTATGAAGATAAAAGGCAAAAAGGCTGGTATTGGGGGCATCAACCCTATAATATGAAAATTTAGAAGGTACAAAACTTCATAAGGTGGATGCTCCTATTGTTAGACTTTTAATGCCTATTTTAACTTTAAAAATTAGTGCTATTTGAATCACCATACTGGTTTCACTAAATGAGGTGAAATGTTTGACAGATTTCATGGCGGGGGAAGTTGATTTGTTGTGGAAATGTAAGGGTTAATATTTATTTCTGTAATATTAGAATTAAAATATAATTTTATATTAATTAGATTAAAAATAAAAAGGGAGTTAAAATTGAGAAATAAATTAAAGAGCTAACAGCAACTTTTCAATTTTCTTTTATAAGATAAGGATGACAAACGAGCACACAGTCCACCTGATGGTAAGTGGACGCTGTGGCCCATAGACATCTACTTATATTTAACCTCGCTTAAAATACAAAATGCAGATGCGTTGTCACCATACAGAAATAGGTCTTTGGTTGTCACCCTTGAGGACTAAGATGGAAATTGGAGTGCCTCGATTCCAGTAAAACGGGTCTCTTGTTAATAAAATAAATGAATAAGGTTGTGAACTAGGGTACATCGTGTTTAGAGCAAAATAAGTTTTTACGTGAAAACGTGCGTAATAAAAAAAAGCTTGGTATAAAATTCAGTTTTAGCTAATGTGATGATAAATTAATGTGTAAATTATGTAATTACTATTATGTAGTGGCAATTTTTTTGTGAAAATTAGTTCAAGTTTTACTAGTTTCCTTTTTAATTCATGAACACTTTAATGATGCTACTTGCATACAATGCGACTAAAGCATGTTAGGTCTGTATTACTCAAAATCATTGTTGTTTTACATACTTTTATAGCTTTTTACTACAGATATGTATTAAGTACCTACGTGTTTCGTTTTAAAATTACCTACCTAGAGACTACAGAACAAAATGAGTAGGGCAGGTTGGTTCATGATATATTTTTAGAATTAGATTATATATTATTTATATATTTAGAATTAGATTATAGGTAGTACTATTATTTATTCTGTGATTATAGTAATATAAATGTATTAAAGGGATCTGGTAGAAATATTCATTATTGTGTCAGGTTCGAAACACGAAGAACTTAAACATGAAAGGAAAGGAGGGTGCGATTAGGCGAGGTGAGGGTGTTGAGCGCGGCAAGAGGGACGAAGCGTCGACACGCGCTCTACGGTCAGCGAACGTTCGAAACCGCAGTAATGAGGCCCGGCGGCGCGTGCGCCCGATTCAACCTTCCTCAATGCGACCGCAACTGACCCGCGCGCCACGCCACGAACGAAGTGCGCGCAACCGAGTGGTGGCTGCTTCCTTGCCTGCGCGCGTCGCTTGATAATTAGATGTCATACTAATAATAATCTGAGGATTTGATGAATATATTTTTTGTGTATAATTCACGGTAACACAAATCATATACTAACATAAACATAGCTGTACCTACCTAATATAACCTAGTAATATAGCCTACATCCATGGACGTATAAAAAAGTAGTTTTTTGATACGAACGTGTCTACAACCCTACACCACGTAGGCAGGCCTCTGTCACTCTTGCTAGCGCGTGAAATAATTACGTAGGTACAATCGCAACGCACCCAGGGTGAAATACCATTGATTTATTTGAAATACGCAGTCGGGGCTAGCGGTAGCGCGTTGTAGGTGATTGAATGTTAAAGATTTTTTAACGCTGTTTACGGAAATAATTTTTTGTTAATACTTGTTGAAATAGTTTTTGTTAAGTGTTTATTGAGTTATACAAAACTAGAGGAGCCAACCACATTACCGCGCGTCGAAAAAAGTGTAACCGCTATCCAACCGCGACGACCATTTTACGGCGCCTCTACACGTTGGCCAACACAGTGGCGAATGTAGTGGCCACTGGCCAATAGCATTGGCCAACGTGTAGAGCGGGTGTTTGGGCTTCATTGGTATGTATTGGAACGATGGCCCACAAGTTGGCGCGAGATCCGTGTGGTGTCGGTTTTTTACAAAAGATCAAAGGATTGTTGACAGAGTTTGGTCGCCGCGTCCACACGTTGGGCGCGCGTTTAGTTTGCTACAAGCTCCCAGAGTGATTACACAATTACACACATTACCAGCCTTTTAGTGCCATTTTAACTTTAAACATTCCTACTACTTTAATTAGCGCGATTTAATTATTTTTATTTGTTTTAATGAATGAGCTATTTATCAAAAAAAAAAAATTAACATTTATTTACAATCAGATTGTTACGAGAACAATTTTAAAATCAAAAAAAAAATGAAGCACGTCGTTTAAACGTGGTTGAACCATGCAGTCATTGATTTATATATTAGATAGTATTATTGGAAGTATAGTTGTAGCACGAATGGGTCGGCTCGACCGGGGACCACGAGGACCACGAAAGATCACAGAATATCAGCGTAAAATAGTAGCTTAATGATTCTGTGTTTCGTATAGTGAGTGTAGAGAACCAGAGACCCTTTTTAAAGGAAACGAGGCATTTCATTTTAGTCCTCACGGGTGACAACGCATCTGCATTTTGATTCGTAATCGAGGATAGATGTAGATTTCTGTGGACCACAGTAACCACTTACCATCAGGTGAACTGTGTGCTCGTTTGTCATCCTATCCTATAAAAAAAAAACGTCGATTTCTTATACTCCTGAGCCACTTTCCTTGTCATGAGTTTTTCATTTATGTTCTAAGTTATAATTAGTACCTATTATTAAGTCAGTGTTAATTATATTTATTGCTGTTGTTTTTGTCTTCCTCAAAAAATAATAAAATTACCAAAAAAATTATAAGGTGTTTTTTTATATATATCAAATGTCTGATAGAAAAGCAAGTACATGTTTTGCTAAACTTTAAAATGAAAACCCAATTTTAAAACACAGACTAATCGATTACAACTCCTTTAACTTTAAAATAAGTTAAGTTCTAATTAATGGTATTTATTCCAGTTTATGATGCATGTCAAGAATAAATAAAGCTAATCGTATATCGTATATCTATTTACAGCCCCATTAATATCCACTATTCTTTTATAATTATTTTATAAAAACGTTACCCACACACTTGGATTTTTTCCTGTATCGCGTAGGCAGTTTAGAAACATAAATTGCACAAGGACACACATCCAAAACCGGAACAATTATTTGTAGGACATACAAATACCTGTTCCGTGCGGGATTCAAACCCGTGGCCCCTGGCGCAGCCACTCATTGCTATGCCACTGCGCCACCGAGCCGTCGTCTAAAATAAAATAAATTCGTCCGCACATTGGCCTGAAACGAAGCAAACTGAACGACCTTCCAACGTGTGGATGCCGTCACAAACTCTCGGCCAATATCTTCGGCACTACATTCGCCACTGTGTTGGCCAACGTGTAGAGCCGTCTTTAAATAAACATATTATATCTGTCTCACTTACACAAGCTGCGAAAACAATAGCGTCGCTAAGATTAGATAAAGATAGACACACCAAACATGCAATGGCGGGTTGGTGTGGCTTACTATATGAAATAGAACCCAAAATACGCAATAAAAATAAGTTTTTTTTTAACTGTTAACGGTTTTTATTTAAAAAAGTATTTATTTTCAGGTGTATAGAAGTTAGCATAACTGATGAAATAAAATATTGTACTAATAAAGCAAACAATATAAAATAGGTAATAAAATATATTTAATAGATCATTCATGAATAAACTAAAATAAGAATAATTAATGATTTTGTATGAAAATAAAACGTAGTTATAATTTCCAAAATATTTAAAATCAGAGGTAACAAATTAACTTACTCCATTAATTATATAGTCTCCCGTTAATGTGGGATAATCACAAAGGCGGAAAAGTGGCAACATTTAACCTAAATCACAATATTCGATAATTTTATTTAATTATTTGAGGTTTTTACGTTTATATTAAAACATGAACTAAAACTTATGTGTGAAAAGTGATTCCGCTTGATTTATTATGTTTTGGTGACCTTGAACCGCATTCTTTCACTGCGCATTTACCCATTTTTTGACGCGGTTCGTTCGGCTCAACTCTGTCGGCGCCACATTGAAGACTGAACTGACTTTAGAATTAGATAGGTATATGGCTGTGGCTATATGTGCAGTGGCAACGCTTTGGCGCGGTAATTTCTAAGCTAAAATTATATATAAAACAATGGTGTTTAGTGTTAGGAGAAAATAGTTAAAAAGTTTTAATGTAATTTAAGAATTATATGTATAATACATATATTATATTACCCATCTATTTGATAAAATTTATGTTTATAATTGTTGCGTGGATAGACGCTAAATGACCAACAAAATGTTTCATATATTATGTCATTCTTTCAGGTTACCGAAGGATTTTAGTAGGAAGTTATGATACGTGAATTTATTTAATTTTTATTGTTAGATAGGTACTTATATAGCAAAACAGAATTAAGTAATAATTTATATAATACCTACGAACTTATTACAAAAAAAATCGACGAATGGCCTTGCAAGTTGCATGCGTAAATAGAAAATAGGCATTCTAATAATTAACATTTCAATGATGTTACTCTTATTGAATCCCTTAAGCTTAAAATAATAGACGTAGAGTTCTAATTATCCTACTTACTATACTTATGTAGACACCGCTGGTAGAGTAGAGTACTGAAATTTGGTAGAGTAGAGTAGGCTAGCACCGTGGGAGAGTTACTCTACCACTTACATTACCCCACCCCGGCGTCCACTCTACTCTACCGAGTACTCGACCTATGTAAACGGTTAGTAGAGTAACTAGTTTAGACTTGTTTACAAAAGGCACATGGCATTGTTTACTAAAGTTGTACGCAGTTTTTTAGTAGTAGTGATTTATGAAAAAAATATGAAGTGGGCTGAATCAGAAACTTTAAAACTAGTAGAGCTTTACGGGGAGTTTCCGTGTATCTGGGATATAAGCCACCGTGATTATAAAGATAAGAACAAAAGGAATGCGGCGTATGAATATATTATTCGTGCAATGAGCAAGGAAAACTTTGGAATTTCTGAATTAAAACAAAAAATCAAAAACCTCCGATGTACTTGTACAAGAACGAATGAAAATAAAAAAATCTCAAAAGTCTGGCAGTTGAAGTAACGAAGTTTATGTGCCTTCTTTAAAATGGTACTATGTAAGGGATACATTATTAAAATCTATTACACGAAGCACCGAGACTCAGGATAACTTTGAAGGAACAATTTATTAAAACAATATTTTATTACATTACTTAGGATATATGACGTTATTGCCAGGGTACAGCTCCATCGTTGTTGATATAGTCCTTCATTCGGTCACGTATTCTCTTAGCTAAATTGGTGCTTTGAATACTCCCAAATCTCTCAAGATTACGCAATTCTTCAATCGCGGTTCTCTAACTACCGGGTGTAATTTCTCCAGTATGTATATTTTCGTGATCGACCGTACTTGCTAGCAAATAAGAAGGCGATGATTCACGCAGCCAGTTGTGAATAGAACAGGCTGCAAACACAAGTTTGCGAACTGTGGAAGGCTTCAAATCTATTTTTCTATCAAATATCCGAAACCTGCTCACCAAAATACCGAATGCATTCTCCACAATTCTTCTTGCTCGGCTCAGACGATAGTTAAAAAATTTTTTAGGTATTGTCAAAGGACCTCTGTAAGTTTTATATGGTTTTAATAAGTATGGCTTTAATGGAAAAGCATCATCACCAAGTAGGAATATTCCTTCAGGCAAGAGTCCTCTTTCTAATTCATCTGAAATCGGGCAATTTTTAAAAATACCACCATCTGATTGTGATCCTTCGGCACCAACTTTAATGTACAGAAACTTGTAGTTAAAGTCAACAACTGCCACTAACACAATACTATTCGAGCCCTTGTAGCTGAAATATTCGCTGCCACAATTTGGAGGGGCTAGTATCAAAATATGTTTGCCGTCGATGGCACCACAACAGTTTGGAAAGTTCCAATGAGTTTCAAATCCACTACTTATTGTTTTCCAGTTGTTTTCTGAAGCTGCCGCAATCAAAAAAATAACCTAATTATATTCTTTAATTACAGAATGCAATATCAGAAAACAACTGAAGTCTAAACAAAAGCACATAATCCACAGCCATCGTCAGTCTCAATAAATGACTCACAAGAGCCAACAACCAGTACTGCACAAAATAAGATAAGATTCACAGTCAGCGCCAATTCAGATAGCTCCAACATTAAAAGGCAAGGGAAAAGGAGACATCCAAAAATAAGAATTTACAGATTCTTGCTTCGGCTGTTAATGAAGTACGCAAAGTGCACGATAGTTTACGCAGTAGTAACGACATAATTACAACTCCCGTTGGAGCTCAAAGTGCCAACGGTGCGTTTGGCTCATACGTCGCTTTAATGTTGGACAAAATGTCATTCGAACAATCTTTACTGGCACAAAGTGAAATACAAGCAATTTTGGTCCGGTTTTTAATACCGCCTTCGACCTCAAACACATCTAACGCAAGTACACCCTCAGTTATGACTCCCCGACCGCAACGCGAACAGCATAATGTTTACGTACTGGAAACCCAAGATGCTTCTCAGTTAGTCTTGCAGAATGATGTAGTTTATATACAAGAAACTCAAGATCCTTCTCAATCAATCTTGCAAACTGATGGCAATGTTGAAACTCAAGATGTTTCACAATTTTACTTACAAAGTGAAGTTGATGATCAAGAAACCCAAGAAGCAACTCAATCAATCTTATCCCAAGCTTGGAATTCTACAAATATTTAGTCTAAGTTCAAATACCGATACGTGGTTTTCCTTCATTTTTTTTTCTAATTATAAAGATACATTTACGAATTTGTCTTTTATTATTAAATTGCTTACACTAATTGTGCGTCACAACAGCGAAACACATAGAAATATATATGTTTTTACTAAGCATCTAATTTCAACTGTTTATCGACAAAATATCTGCATAGATTGCCGGCTTGCCATTTGTGGGTATGTGAGTCGACGTGGTGAAGCACACCAATAATATTGACTCCAGCTGATAACAAAAACTTACCTTGATATACTCATACAGGCTTTCGTAAATAGCGTCAGAAACTTCAGGAATTAATTTCGAAACACTGCATTTAGACACTCTGTAATGATTCTGCAATGACCGGTAGCTATCTCCTGTAGCTAGGAAATTTAAAGTTATTTCTAATTTTATTCGTGGTGTTAATGCCATCCTCATTGTAGTATCTTGTTTCTTAATTTTCGGACCGACCTTTTTGAGCAAATCCTCAAACATTTCTGGCGTCATCCTCATAGTTAGTCTATATTCTTTTACGTCCTCTGCTGCTAACTCTTTCAAAAGTAGTGCTGAAGCCCCTCGCTCATCCCTTCTCAATATCCAATCTGTTGTCCATATTCTCTTTTTCCTATTTTTCTCTTCTTCAAGAGCCTTCGTTACCTCCTTCAATAATAAATCTGTTAAGATTATTAGAGCGTTACTTACTATTTCTCGATGAGTCGAATCGACGTTCATTGTTCTAGCGTTTCTTACCGAGTGACTTAAAAGCTTTACTCTACTAACAAAATGAAAATTTACATGTAGACAGTTACTCTACTAAAACTGGTAGAGTACTGAGAACCGGTAGAGTAGTATGCTAGTTCACTCTACTGTTTACTCTACCCGCGTCCAGCAGTCTTTAGTAACAACGGAAAGTCTGCCGTAACGTAGGAAGGGGAAAAGATGCAAAGCAATAAGGACACTCGCGCAGCGATAAAGTTTTAGTTAGCTTGCGAGCACGATTTATCTAAATTAATAATAATTGTGTAGGCTATTATACCTCGGCAAGCAGTCAGCATCAAAAGGACTGCAACTTCTGCACGTAGTACTATTATTTATTCCGTGACGTAGGTAATACATATGAACATAGAAGCACAGTTTAAAGAAGAGCTTTAAACTGTGATAGAAGTTGAGGTAGGTACACGTTTATCACTATGCATATTACCAGGCCTCTGTCACATTATGCGTGAGATAATTACCTACAATCGCGAGGCGTCCCGGTCTTCATACGAAGTCGTGGCTAGTGCGTTGTAGGAGATTGATTTTAACGCTCTTTACGTAAAATAAAGTTTTCGTACATACTTGTTGAAATAGTTTTTGTTTGGTGTTTAGTATATATTTAATTGTAGGATAAAATTGTTAAAAAGTTTTAATGTAGGATCACCCGGGGCTATTGTAGCTACTAGAAATCTAATTCGAAGTTTACTTCAATTTTTTTTTCACTATCAATAACAAATCAGCAAATTCGATGAATGCTTTTGGTTAGGTATATAGTAGTTAGGAGTTAATAATTAATGCTAAATTAAAAAAATCGTTTTCATAGCCACTGATAGTCACATTTGCCCTCGACGGGGGGTAAATGTAGCTATTCACTATAATGTCTTTGTTTTTGAATCTAATAATACTTCAACTCATAGTAGACGTCGGGCCTATCTAAATTTAACTAATTTTGTATTTTTATTCTTTGTAGGACTGTTTAATTAGCTTTAAAATTATTGATGTTAGAGTTAGGACATGTGTCTCGATAACTTAAGATATCGATATATTGTACGAGTACAAATTTGTATTACTACCGATAGACCAGTTAGACATTTTAAATACAAATTAAGCAAACGACAAATAATGAACGTGACAGTAGGAACCATTTATTTTAAAATTTTAAAATTGCGAACATACTTCTAAAAAGAATATTGTTTCCGGACTCATATTCCTTGAAAAGAAAATGTTCAGTGACCGTGAAAATAAAATCAAAAAAATTATTTTACGTAGGCCTACATGTGCACTTATAAAAACGTTGAGAAAAGGTGTACGGTTCGGATTGGTCGTTACCTATAGAGAAGTATCATAAAATTCAACCATAACGGTAGATTTAGTGTAGTTTTTGCGATGATGGCAACATTGTTAAGACCGCCACTTTGTTACTTCGCACACCTCACCTCAGTCAACGTTTGCCTATTTGAGTGAGTGGCTATGTAAAAATTGCAAATATCTTTAAATATATTTTTATTACCTGCTTAAAATACTTTGGAATTTGTATCGACACTTGCTATATTTACGTCGACACCTTAACATCACTAATGTTTTTCATGTTCATATAAAGATAGAGGAGCAATCGAAGCTGACAAAACAGGAACAATTACCTAACCTACAGTTTTTAATGGGCAAAACGTAATGCCTCTAAAAACTAGACTTACTTTAGTGTAGAATAAAACAAATAACGACTTACAGTTAATAATTTCAAGATTCACTTCAAAACACCTTTTAATTATACGAAAAAACAATTTTTTTGGAATATTTTCAAATGCGGTTCCTTAGCGCTGACATATTTAAACATGGCGGAAACAAATAATGGTCTGTAGTTAGTACAGTTTACGTGTTAGTGGCATCATCTACATGTAATCTACAGATGTCACTTATTCTAAAAACGCAACAATAACGGATTATCTCAATCACCTACATTTGCGCCCTGGCTACAATAGCCCCGGGTGACCTTAATTTAAAGATTATATATGTTATGTATATTACCTATTTGATAAATTATAATGGTAAAACGTCGTTCCTACTATAATTGTTGCCTTTTTTTTTGCGGATGGAAAATAATCTAATGACGCCTTTCGCTCTGGGTGGAGCGTAAGGGAGTGTCAGACTTTTACTGACTAAAAACCATCCGTGTTCCTTCAGTGCCCTTACGTTCCGGAGCCGCGGTATCTCTTTCGAACAGCCCGCAGTCCCGGCAGGTGTCGGCCCTTGCGGGCCCCTTCACGCTGCTGACAGCTCTTTGAGGCGCGCGTGGAACGAAACGCGCCGTCGACACGGCCTGTCGTCGTTAGACGGATGGACGGCGAGCTACCCATTGCTCGCCGTCCACAAGCCCGCGCCTACGGTGGCCGGGGGCCACGACGTAGCCCCCGACGCCCGGGGCGTCTCCCGCGGCGGCCGGGGAGGAAAGCTGCTGCTCTCTCCTTCTCCCGCTCCGCCACCTCCTTCGCTAGCATCACTGCTTCGCAGAAGGTGGTGACGGCATCCCATTCCGTCTCGCTCCGGACCATGGCTTCGACCAGGGCCGGACGCGAGAGGTCGCCGCCGCCTATCGCCGCTACGAGGACACGGCGGTGCTCCGCCCAAGCAGGGCACACCTCCACGGTGTGTTCCACCGTGTCCTCCGGTCCATCCTCGCAGTGGGAGCACCCGGGCGTTTCCTCCCGCCCGATTCGGTGCAGGAACCTCCCGAACACACCGTGTCCGGTGAGAATCTGCGTCAGGCGGAAGGTGAGGATGCCGTGGCGTCTCTCAAGCCACTCCTCAAAGAGGGGTCTTATCGCCGCTATAGTGGCGTACCCAGCACGGGGTTGCGACAGTCGCTCTCTCCATGTCGCCATGAGATCGTGCCGGAAGTCTGTCCGCTGCGCGACAACTTGCCGCGGCAGCGGGGTTTCCCCCCGGCATAGTGCTTCCGCGCGCCATTCGTGCAGGCGTGCGAGGACTACCGCCTCCAGATCCCATGGCTGCAATCCGGCAAGGAGCCAAACCACGCGCCCACACCGGGGCCCCGTAAAGGGCCATGGATCGCACGATCCCCGCGTAGAGCCTCCGGCAGAAGGCGTTTGGCCCCCCTAGGTTCGGCAGGAGCCGCCTGAAGGCAGCCCCGGTCCGTTCCAGTTTGGGAGCCAAACGTCGGAAGTGCTCAACGAAGTTCCATCGGCCGTCGAGGACGAGTCCTAGGTACTTCAGCGTCGACTCGACGCCGATGGATACCCCTCCTACCATCACTGAGGATCCCGGTGGTGGCCTGTTCCGAGGACCATGGAAGTGCATGGCCTCGGACTTGTGCAGAGCCACCTCGAGACCCAGTTGCCGAATCCTCTCAACGACTATCGCAACCCCGCGTGTCATAGTTTCCGCCGCCGCCTCGTACGACCCCCCCTTGTGCCAGTACCAGCGTGTCGTCAGCGTAGCAAACTACGCTGACGCCAGTAGGAAGGTCGGCGCGCAGGACCCAGTCGTAACCGATGTTCCACAGAGGTGGCCCCAGAACCGAACCCTGTGGGACACCGCACGACATCTCTCGCCGGTTCCACTCACCGTTGCGACCGGGGTAGATGACGGCCCTGTCCGTCAGATAGTCCCCGACTATACGACGGAGATAGGTCGGCACCCGGTGATACCGGAGTGCCTCCCTAATGCAGCTCCAGGGCATGGAGTTGAAGGCGTTGGTGATGTCGAGAGACACCGCCAAGACAACTCCCCCTCTGGCCACTGCATCCCCCGTCGTGAGGGCTCTCACGCGCATGATGGCGTCCACCGTAGAGCGCCTCTTGCGGAAACCAAACTGGTGTTCCGCAAGATCCGGCCCCGTCCCCGCAAGGTGCTCGGCGAGGCATTTTGCAATGCCTCTTTCAAAGAGCTTGCCCACCTCGTCGAGCAGCACCACGGGCCCGTATGCGGACGGAGAGTCCGCAGGGCGTCCCGGCTTCCGAATGAGGACCAGCTTCCCCGTCTTCCAACGAAGCAGGAATTGGCCGCTCTCCAAGCATGCGCTTAGGAGCCCCTCCAGTCGGGGCCCGAGAGCCTCCGAGGCCAGGACCCAGGCTTTGCCAGGCAAGCCATCGGGTCCTGGGGCGGTATTCCTGGCCTTGAGCTTACGTACCGCCACTCTCAGGTCTACCCCTGTCCCTTCCGGGATGTCGTCGTCGTCGTCCTGGTGGTCCGCTTCCGGCACCGCAGGTGGCGG